AACCTCAACTTAGAACAGAGATATCTAACAAACCAGATCAGATATAGGGGTGATTCTAGAGACATTGGAAATATACTTAAGTCTAGTTCTTACCATAAAAATTTCATAATTTTTGGTCAAGTAGATTTTGATTGGCATTAAGATAAGGGCAGACTGCTCCGAAAAACTGTTCCGAGAGAACATGATGTACCAAACCCAACTATTTATTTATGGACTCAAACTTTAATATTCTTAACTATGGAACTTGCGGACATGCCCACAAAATTCTAGCACTCATTACAAAAATCCAACTCACATATAAACATAATAACAAATCAACTAGGCACACCAAAGTTCACACCACACTTCTAGACTCAACTTGACTCATTCTACTAACGTCTTATTACATAAAAGGGACTCCAACACCTATGGGAGAAATTTATGGGGAAGCTCCTCATACATCCTTAGCAGGTTGAGGCACACCCTTTGCTCATCTATCACTTGTCGGTATCTCTTAAGGGTTTCTTGCTATGCTTTCAACTGATCTTCCAGTCACTGAATCTTTGCTACTGACTCATAGCCAAAGTGTACCATCGCTTGGGTAGTTGGATCCATGCCATGCGGGTCCATCATTGTCCATTCCAATTCATGGTGTTGGTGAGGGAGGAATCAATATTGGTCATCCTTCATATCCTCAAATCGATGACCACTAAGACCCATGTAGGCTGCAGCTGCTACATCTTCTATGCTATCCTCCATGGTGGCACAGTGAGCGTGATGTGCATAGTTTGAATCCAGCTAACATGCAACCTTCTGTTCATCCTTGATGGAGATGCACACCTTGGTCTTCCAATAGGTGTCCTCCAGAGGGTGCGTACACTCGGTGCAGACATACTCCACAGCTGCGTCCCAATCACCGTAGTAGGTCTGAAGAATCCCCATAAGTTGGTGGTGCAAATGGAGGATTCATACCCTGGCTTATACCAGACCTTTGTAGTCCATCCTAGGGGAGGGATCGACTCATCCTCTTCAACGGCGTCTTCCTCCTCCTCATCATCGAACAATAAGACAACCTCCACTTCTTCGGGTTCCTCCTGGACTAGCTCAGGCATAGATATAGGTGTTGCGAATCAACTTCTTGTTCCTGAGGTTCCTCCTCCTCATGTTGCTACATGGACAAGCCACGAGGTGGGTAGTAGCCTCTAGTGCTGATGCGAGCAGTCTTATTGGCATGAGGCATCTACATAATTAGATTTAGTCAGATTAGAAGCAATAATTTTCATAACAGAATAAGGCAAAAGGAGCATAAACTTTAGCAAATACAAGGGTGAGATGGAAAGCATGAAATGAGGGAAGCAAAAGAAGCTAAAATGACCATTGCTAACTAGGATTGCATCCTACAGTCAACACGGCTCTGATACCTATCTGTCATACCCGATTTTAAGGATAAAATGGGATGCAAAACCTTATGTGCGCCTAGAGATCAGTCACACATATAAGCTGACAAATTATGAATAGTATCATCACAAGTGTTTATTACATCACGAATAATAAGACAGAGTCTTCACATAAATATAGCGGAAGCATAAAGAAAAGATCTCTCGCAGAAGCTCTATATCAAAGGGACGTCAACTGGTTGACCATAAGTCTAGTAATCCTCAGGGAAATCATCATTACCATAGCCATCTGTTACCCATCTTGGATTTTTATCCAAATAATGAAAATAAATAAGCATAAGTACATGTCGTACTCAACAAGTATAACATGAGGTTCATGAGGCTCAAAAGGCTTGACACAGGTTTAACAGCATTCAACTTTTAGTTGTCAAAATTCTAGCATAAGAGTAGCAACAAATTGTTTCAATTCCCAAAGCAAACACATGATCAATGTAAACATGAATAATGAATAACATAAATAGATAATTCGTAGTGATCATCTATTCAATAAGGGTCCAAGGTTGCTCGTGACCGTGAGCACGGCTGATATACCAGTTTTACACTCTATAGAGGTTGTACACTTTCACTGTGAGTCATGATACCCATATGTCCGGGTTTGCAACTCCCAAAATACTTCAAAGGTGAGCAGGCAGGGGTCACTATGAAGCCTTTCAAAGGTTCGTCTAACAAGTTAGGGCCATTAGATTCACTCGGCAAACAGATATAGGAACCCTCTGTTGAATGACATAATTCCATCATGACTATACACATAAGAGTAGAGGCTGTCCTATACCCGATTCAGCAAGCCATTCTTATGCCAATAAAGGTAACCGCTAACAAGCTAGCAAAGGTAACCGCTAAAACGAAGAAGTTATGAATTAAACAAGTTTTCCATTAGTAAAATAATAGATTAAATCTAACCTTGAATTTTAAAAGTTGAAAACATGCTTAACAGTAGTATGAACATGTAGATTATGAAATTACAAACCTAACGCAATTTGAACGGATCAAATCAGAGTTAGAACGGAGATTTTATGGCCTATAGAAGATAGTGGCAATTATGTAAATAAGTGAAACTTGATTTTCAAATTTAAAATAATCAAAATCTGATTTTAAACCAACATAAGGACTGCGGCCACAATTTGCAACAAAGGCAGGGGCTCTTTTGAAAGAATACGAGGATGGCGGGTTAAGATCTAATTAATTATAGGGCTCTTTTGCAAAATAGACCAGTGAAAGGGTATCATGGCATCTGGGCCGTTGGATTAGATTCAGACGGCTGAGATCAGATTAGAAGGGAGAGAGAGGGATGGCCGGCCAGCGGGGTCGACGGCGAGGTTCCATGGTGGCGCCATGGACGGTGCGGGCGGCGCTCGGCGAACTCGGTCCACGGATCACCGTTCGACGAAGCAAGAGCACGAGAAGCTAGAGGAGACGATGGCGAACTCGGCTAGATGGTTTACCTCGGTGTGAAGCGATGAAGGGCAGCGTGGCACTAGGCGAGGTGGATGGCAATGGCGGCGGCTAGGGCTAGGTGGTGTCTCGGCGAGGGTGCCTACGGCGCTACAGCTTGGGATGGAGGCGACGACACGGGTCTAGGTATTTATGAGGCGGGGGCGGCTTGGGGCACAAGATACAGAGGGGAAACATGGCCGCAGCGGAGTCGGACGGTGGCGGCGGCAGTCGTGCCCGAGGCAGACACGGCGCGGAGGAATACGGTGCGCCTGACGCGTGGGACCCGGATGTCAGCGGGAGGAGGGCGAAATGCGGACGTGGCTGGACCGGCTGTGAAGCTAGGCCAGCGCTACTGCTAGGCCGACGCGGGGAATAGAAGGCTGCGTGAGCGCAGGCCCAAGCGGGGAGAAAGACGGGCCGCGGGAAGGCGGGAACCGTCCGAGAAGGCAGGCCAAGGGAGATGGGTCGGTGTGGAGAAACGGAACGGGCCGCGGGCGCAGAGAAGCAGGCCAGCAGGCTGAAATCTGAAAGAGAGAAGAGAAATCCTTTTCTATTTTTTCTAATTTTCCAACCCAATTTTGAATGCAAATTCAAATCAATTTGAAATTTGATTTCAAACCACACAATACAAAAAACAATATGCAGCAGCATGAATGCACATACATGATTGTAAACCTATATTTGATTTTAATTTCAGCAAAATTATTATTTTTCCTAAATTTAAATGCTCACAAGAATGCATAATAAATCAACTTCTCCTAGTTTGAAATGTTGCAAATTTTAGGGTGTTACAAATATGGGAAGACCATTTAGTAATAGTCTTTAAATAGACATTTAATGGTCAATTTCATTAATCTTTCTGATATTGTTTTGTACAAGGCTTCACATGAATGTGTATAGCTCGACAGAATGATATATCACATACTGAAGTTATGTGGTGTTGATTCTATGAATCAATGGTCATTATCCATAAATGTAATGCAACATGTGTTGTGTAGATGGAGACAAAATATACTTAATGCAATATTTTACACTAAGATGGTTTTGTTCCATAGGTGATATGGGCATATGAATATTTGCAAACTAAGTCTTGTGATAATCTTGCGGAGATATTCACAAAATCTACCATACTTCATATTTCTTATGTGTTGAGTGCATTGGTATGAATTTACTTCGAGGTTTGCTAGTATCAGGGGGAGAGTCTCTCTGATTAATAACTTGTTGTAAACATCATATTGCACTCTTTTCTTTGTATGAGTTTTCCCATGGGATTTCTCATATAAAGTTTTTAATAAGGCAATATCAACACAAGGTTATGTCATATCATCCATTTTTCCCGCAGGGGTTTTTGGTGGACGATATTGTGACATAAGATGCATTGTACTCTTTTCTTTGTGTGAGTTTTCCATTTACGGTTTCTCATATAAAGTTTTTGGTGAGGCAATGTCAACGTAAAGGTATATGCTATATCATCTAGTTTTCCCTATCGAGGTTTTTGAAAGATGATATTTAAAGCATATTGACCCTATGGTCAAGGTGTTTTAGACTAAGGCTTTGGGTTTATCTCAAAGGGTCTAATAATATTGGTGATTGTATATCTTGATGTTTCTCCTTATTTTTTTCCACTGGATTTAAGGAGTTTTGCCTAGTATATCAGTATTACTTTGGTTTTTCCCACAGGGGTTTCCAAAGATTCATAATGATGCATAATAGACGAACAGTGAAAGACTACAAGAAGTAAATTGATGAGTTAAATACACCGACGGCCCTTAAACTTGTAGCGTTATGCCACTTAGGTCCACGAACTCTCAAAATCGAAATTCAACTCCCTGAACTTGTTAAATGGTGCACTACAGGTCCATACCCCTCAGCAGGTGACGACTGGTCTAAATTTTTACAAAAAAAACACCCTGCTATTTAAACCATAATGCAAACGAACTGATCGCCATGGGCTGATCGCCGTATATCCATTCAGATTCACGCACACATGCATTCAGGTTTTATAGAGGCTAAGAAAAAGCAAAGACGCCAAGAAAGGCAAACGGGAGCGAGCGGGCATGGCAGCACCACCGCCCACCGGTGCGGCGCGGCGCCCCTCCACCCCCAGCTCACCATCCCGCACCCTCTGCCATGAGCTACACGGAGCGCCTGCTCTACACCAGCAGCCCGTGCCATCCTGGCATTTCCCCCTACACCCCCACGCCCAAAGACCCGCCGCCGACTCCTGCCGCCGACATGGTGGTAGCGGTGTGCGAGGACGAGGCCGGCGCGTTCGTCGCCACCAACGCATGGGACGCGCCGACGGTGGTGGCGCGCACAGGAGTTGCCCACACCAGCAGCCCCCACGCCAGGCGCAGCCCGCGACATCCTGGCGGCATTGCCCCCGCCACCACCGGCCCCGCCCCCAAGGACCCACCGCCCGACATGGTGGTAGCAGTGCGCGACGACGACGACGAGGCCAACAAGCTCGTCTCCGCCACCACCGGCTCGACACGGGACACGCCGACGGTGCGGTCCCCGCGCGCCGCGTGGGTGCTGTTCGTGGAGGAGTCGGCTGTGGGCGATCGGCGCGCCCATGGCCTTCAACATCATCTGCATGTACGGCACCAACTCCACGATGCAGATCTTTGCGGGCCACATCGGCAACCGCGAGCTGTCCGCGGTGGCTATCGGCCTCTCCGTCATCTCCAACTTCTCCTTCGGCTTCCTCCTCGGGATGGGCAGCGCGCTGGAGACGCTGTGCGGGTAGGCGTTCGGGGCGGGGCAGGTGGCCATGCTGGGCGTCTACATGCAGCGGTCGTGGATCGTGCTCACCGCCTCCGCCGCGCTGCTCATGCCGCTGTACGTGTCCGTGCTCGGATGGGGCGTTGCCGGGGCCGCGCTCGCCTACGACGTGTCGTCATGGCTCACCTCGCTCGCGCAGGTGGCCTACGTCGTGGGATGGTGCCGGGACGGGTGGACGGGGCTCAGCGCGGCCATCGAGCAGCATGAACATCAACGGGTGGGAGGGGATGCTGTTCATCGGCCTCAGCGCGGCCATCAGGCAATTAACACAAATTTCATTTCAGAAAGAAACTCAACAGCCATTAATTGCCATCCATGGATGGTCCATGCAGCGTGCGCGTGTCCAACGAGCTCGGGTCCGGGCGGCCCCGTGCGAGCATGTACGCGGTGATGGTGGTGCTGGAGCAGTCGCTGGCGTTCGGGATGCTGGCCATGGTGCTCGTGCTTGCGACGCGGGAGCAGTTTCCGGCCATCTTCACCGGCGACAGGCACCTGCAGAAGGCCGTGTCCAGCATCACCTACCTGCTGGCCGTCACCATGCTGCTCAACAGCGTCCAGCCCGTCATCTCGGGCGTTGCTGTGGGCGGCGGCTGGCAGGCCGTCGTCGCCTACATCAACCGTTGCCGGCCGGACGGTTACCGGGAGGCGGAGTCGCCGCTGTGGTGGTCGGAGACGAGCACGTGGATGGCGCTGGAGAGGCTGTTGACAGCGGAGACAAGGCCCGCGAAGCCCTGGCGCCGCAACTCCAGCCGCAGCCGCCGCTCCTCCAGCTCCAGACCTCCAGTACCTCCCGGAGACAAAGGTGCTTTGTCTTTGTTAGTTTGTTTGCATTATGGTTTAAATAGCAGGGTGTTTTTTTTTTGTAAAAATTTAGTCTAGTCATCACCTCCCAAAGAGGTACGGACATGTAGTGCACCATTTTACAAGTTTAGGGGGGCGAATTTCGATTTTGAGAGTTTGTGAATCTAAGTGGCATAACGCTACAAGTTTAAGGGCCGTCGGTGTATTTAACTCTAAATTGATTAAGGGGAAGTGTTGAGAATTATTGTTCAGTGATCAATTAGGGATTAATTCAAATCATATCTTTTCATCCCTCTCTCACTTTCACACTTGTAACCACCCATATAAGCCCTGTATATATATATACATACACTGTTCATATCGTTCGCTTGTCTCTAGCTCCCTAATTCTAACACTACTAGATACGTGATCTAGCGGTCTCGTCTCCGACCCTGATGAAAAATCTTCATCTTTTGCTAGTGGACAATAGAGTATTGATTCAAATGGTCGAGCAGTGGGCCGTGGGCGATAGGAAACTGGTGGTATATAGAGGCATTGTTTCGTTAAGTCTTGCTGACATCTGTCTAGACCGTTGTTTCTCCGTGTCCATTCAAGTCCGCATCAAGTACCAAGAAACATATTCCAAATTAAAGCTCGGTGAATTTTTCTGCACGCTGATGTCGACGACTACTATGTCGTTTCAGAGAAAATCAGGATGACTCATTATATGTATATATACGTCGCTATTATTGAATATATGGAGAATATCCCCTGATTACGACAACCGAAGAAATTCTAGTGACACTTGTAATATATTTAAATTATTATCGCTCTGTGCTGTATTTTATATTAACCAAATGACCAGCTGATGTTACAGTGCTGGAGGCAAAGGCATCGGCTTATTGAAACCTATAACACATAATAATCAACATAAAGTAAATGGGTAGCCATGCAATGTATAAATAGCATATATATAGAGCATAGCATCTATGAAATTGGTGTTGACTTTGAACTTTTTCTGTACTCATATTCCGCTAGATCATCTATCTTGATCTTTATCAATCTCCAATGCAAAACAATAGTTTAAATAAATATTGAACACAACAATGAGATAGAAAACAATAGGGACAGAAATAAATAATTTCAAAAAAACCCAAATAGAACAAGATAGATCACATGTTTAAAAAATAAATAAATATTAATTTTAAAGTTTTAATTTAAAATGAATTAGTTATGAATTTTACAGATATATCGAACCGGATCTTTATTATTTTGGAAATAGAAAACCACATTTGCAAACAAAATATTGGACCATTGCTGCCGTTCATGTCTTTCTCCCTGCTGTGCGCCATCTTCACTAGTGTCCTTTGCTTTGCAACCATTGCTGCCGGCGATGATGATCAATTTCTCTTCTCAGGATTTGCTGGAGCCAACATCACTCTTGATGGCGTAGCCACCATCACACCAGAAGGCCTAGTCGATCTAACCAATTGCTCATGAAAGGTTGATAGGTCACATGTTCTACCAAACTGCTCTGCACTTCCGCAAGTCTCCCAATTCCACAGTGCAATCCTTTTCTGTATCTTTTGCATTTGGCATCCACCCAAACTACCGACCCAGCCAAGGCTTAGCCTTTTTCATTGCGAAGAGCATGAATTTCTCATCCGCCATTGATCTACAGTACTTTGGCATCTTCAACACCGAAAATCAAGGCAACTTAAGCAACCACATCTTTGCTATTGAGATTGACACCCTCTTAAATAGTGAGTTAAGAGACATTGATGCCAACCATATTGGAATAGACATCAACAATGTCATCTCAAACGAGTCCCACACAGCTGGTTTCTATGATGACAATAATGGTCTCTTCAATCCCTTGAATCTCACTAGTGGTGAAGCAACCGCCTTCCTCCGCCATGGACACCGCAAACCTGAATCGTCAACTAGACCTCCACCATCCTCGTCACGAAGCTGGCCGCCGCCGCAGACTTACCGAGCACGAGCTTCCAAAACGACACCTCCAAAGAGGGACACAACGCCAGTGGCGCCGCCGTCGCCTGACCAGAAGGTCAAGGTTTTCACCCGCGGAAGCCACGCCACGCAAAACGAAGAGGACCATTCTCTGGACGCTTCCAAGGAAGAATACGGCGCCCGTAGGCGTCACCATCATCGGCCCAGGAGGGACAAAGCTTTCGCCATGGCGCCTCAGCCTCGTGCACGACAAATGCCCATCAGCTATGCCAACCACCAACCACGGACAGGAGAGTGGCAGCCACCGCCACCCGCATGCGGCGTCCTATGTCCGGTCACCGGCGGCAGATCCCCGATGTGTCGCAACCCCTCGGGCCAGAGAGGACGAGGAGGAAGCGGTTGCCGGCGAGCACCCCGCAGCTCGCTACAGGGCCCACCAGCACAGATCCGGCCAAGGGGCAGCAGGATCCACCTTCCACAGCGCCGGATCGGCCCCTTCCGCTGTGGACTGGGTAGCCGCCGCTGCCATAGCTGACGCCGCCTTGCGAGCGACGTGCCATGGCAGAGGAGGCTCAAGTGGAGAAGAAGCCCGACGTTGTCCTCGTGCAGCTGCCTCCTCCCGCGCTGTCCACGGCCCACCCGTAGCTCCACGCCATGCAGCGCCCTGCGGGGCGCCCCCTTCTCGCGCTGCCGCTCCCCGGCCAAATCCATGCGGGGGGATGCCGGATCTTGTTACCACCGGGAGGAGAGGAGGGAAGGAAGGAAGGAAGAAGAACCCCTCCGCCACCATCCTCACGGCTGCGCGGCCACCGGCAGCACGATCTGGCGGCGGCGAGGTGGCACGGGGAGGTAGGGAGGAGAGGTTGGCGGTGGTGGCGTTGCCGCTCGTGTCGCCTAGGAGGGACGACGCGGTGGCCGGCTTCAATCTGGGAAATATCTAGGGTTTAGTGACAATGATGCATAGCACAAATAATTAACACCGATAGTTACCGCAAATGGCGGTAGTCCCTGGTCCTGGCAACCCACCAGAAGTCGCAAAGTCACGCAATTTTTCATGCGCGCAAGGTCACAGGGGCCTGCAGCCTCAGTGTATCTCTTAACAACTCCATCCATAAGTCATGTGAGTCCATACATCAGATATTCTTTCTCCTCATATTATCTTCATCTGATTTTGAAATGAGTATTTAATACCTTAAACCAATTCAAATAAAACAAGATTTCAACTGCAAAGTTGTAGATATCGATGATATCTACAACTTCAGTTTCGGTTGTTTCTCCATCTGAGGTCGTTTGAAAATTCTAAATTTAAAATGTGAAAAATTCAAACGTTATTTTTCTTGGATAGATGATTTCAAATGAAAACATATCTGCTGCAAAGTTGTATAACGTTTCGATATCTAAATCTTTCGTTTTGGTCGTTTCTCCATCTGAGGTTGTTTGAAAAATTCAAATTACTGTGCAGCTCGTATTTTTAGAGGTGGCTCTATTTTCAACCGCCTCTACAAATTGATTTTTAGAACCAGCTCTAGATCTTGCAGCTCTGCAAATCAATTTTTAAAAGGCTCTAAAAATAGAGCCGCCTCTAAAGATAGGGCAGCTGCCTCTACAAATGTATTTCTAGAGACTGCTGGGTTCGGACAGATTTGTAGACAGTTATATATTAAGCCACCTCTATTAATAAAAAAGGCATTGCTATAAATCAAATATGTAGTCCACGTTCTCTTTAGAGGTCTAGACACACGTCAACCGATCGGTGCACGACTTATGGTCAGGGAGATGGTAAATTCAAATACTAGTGGAAAAATGAGCGCGTCTCACCTAGGTGCATGACTTATGGTCAGGGAGATGGTAAATTCAAATAATAGTGGAAAAATGACCGCATCTCACCTAGTTACACGTTTTATAGTGGAATAATCTATCACTACGTGAAAAACGGTTTGTAGCAACGGGATAAATTTTTTTTAGGGGCGGCCGGTGATGGAGCCGCCCCTACAGTGACGTGCTCGAGAGCCCAGAGCCCAGCCGCCCTTACAAATGAAACAGCAGGAGCGGCTGGTGATACGAGCCGCCCCTACAAATGGGGCTGATTTGTAGGGGCGGCTCACTCACCAGCCGCCCCCGGTATTTCTATTTGTAGGGGCGGCTGGTGATTGAACCGCCCCTATAAATGCTCCATGTATAATTACCTGCTATTTGTAGGGGCGGCTCAATCACCCGCCGCCCCTACAAATGACCCACATATAAAAAAACTACAGCATCTTCTTCCTCCTCGGGTCACTCACTTCAACCTGTGAAAGAAAGGTGGGGAGGCCTTGGGCACCTCCCAAAAATTGCTCTACTAAGGGGAAAGGTTTTGGTCTTAAATCCTTTAGTGGAGAGGTTGTAGAAGGTAAGAAAATGCTATTCCACACTTTTTTGAAGTTTTAATGGTTGGTTAGTGAGTAATTAGAGTTTTGTTTTTCTCTCTCTTCTATGGTGCTTGAGCTACTTATAAGGCAAATTAGACCCAAGTTTTGAATGTACTACAGTAAATTAGATAGGGGAACAAGATCATACCCATATTTGGTCCATGTTTTTTGATTTTAGTGAACAATTAGTTAATTTTATAGATGTTTCATGTGCATGTAGATTTAGATCTAGGGTTTGGTTTTTTTTATTAATTTCGTTTTTGTAAATTTATGTTTGATGAAATTGGACTAGGGTTTGTATGAAAGATATTGGGTAAAATATAATTATTGCTAATTGTTGTCTTTGAAATTGTTTATTGTAATCAACAAATATGTATTTTAATTATTTAGGGATAAATGGGCCATTAATTAATTTTTCTCTACCATGGTATGTTTGTATGCTTCATGTAATTATATTTGATTTATATTCATATATATCTAAAGTATATAAAATTATTCTCAAGTAATTATTAATTTGATTCATTTTTATATATATCTGAATAAGTAGTCCTTAATGTTTGTTTTGTTGTTGTTGTAAAAGATGGAGTACAGGAACTCTTGATGTATAGTTCGTTAAGGCTCAAGGCAGGTTTCCGTGAAGAGGTGGATAAATTTATTGAAGCCGCAAAGAAGCATGCAACAACATTGACAGAGAATAAAGATACAATTATTTGTCCCTGTAAAGATTGCAAGAACCGTATGGCATGGATAAATGTGACTATCATCAGATCATATTTGATTATGCGAGGATTTGTTGAGGACTACACAGTGTGGATTCATCATGGTGAAATGGTTATTGTTAACGACGAGGATGAGGAGCAATACGACGACGAAACCCTAGAATCCCTGTCCCAATATTCAGCAGAGCTTGATGCACGAATGGATTCTGAGTTTGGTAATGAACAAGGTGGTGATGCTGGTGGTTGGGATGGTAACGACGAAGGTGGTGGCAATAATGATGGTGGAGCACATATCGGGGATGAAGATGATTTGGAGGACATGATTCGAGCCTTTGACCAGAGATTTTACTAAATAGCCCAAAAGGTCTAGAAAATTTAGAAAGGGTGACAAAAGAATCGAAGGAGACTGTGTATGGTGTTGAAAAGGGTTGTCCGACATATTGGACATTGCTACATTTTGTGCTTGCGCTACTCATCCTGAAGGCTAAGTACGGTTGGCCAGACTATAGTTTCAATGATCTATTGCATCTCCTATCATGGGTGCTACCACAACCAAACTCAGTTCCCGCCAACACATACCAAGCGAAGAAGGTCATAAGTCCATTGACAATGGGGGTTGAAAAAATACATGCATGCTCCAACCACTGTATACTTTTTCGTGGCTAAACATTCAAGTCACTGGATAAATGTCCCTGGTGTGGGGCCAACCAGTACAAGAACAATGACCATTACGGTGGGGACGAAGCCTCCACGGGGAAAAAGAGGAATAAGATGGATACAAAAAAGGTGCTATAAGAATCTCAGCCCCCAGAGGACATTTATTGAAATTCAAATTTTGAACTGTTCAAATTTGGTCAAATGAAAAGATGACCTAAATATAACTTGTACATCTTGATGAGTTCTACAACTTTGATGTTTACAAAATTTTATTTGACGTCATTTAGCATCCTAAAATTCTCTTTGTTGTTTTGAAATTTGTCGACACAGAATTTTCGTTCCGTGCCGAGGACACATGCAGCAAGCCGGAAGGGTCTGCTCGATGGAGCTGTAGATCCGCCTAGCTTCAACGTAGGGATGGTCGATCCTGCGCACTCCTCCCGAGACGTGCTAGTCAATTTAACCATGTAATTGACAAGGAGAGAAAGTTCATCAGTAATTAAGAGCGAAACTTGTCGGTGTTGCCAGACAGTACCGAATGTGTGGCTTTGAGAGCCGATATGAGAGGAGATCGACTAAACAGCCGATTCTAGCATATTCATGAGAATAAATCGGTTAAAGCTCATTGGGTTGTATAAGAAGAATCGGTTATCATTCAAGATAAATGTCATTATTTGAGCATATATTAATTAATGGTAATAAGATGTCAACAATGATTGGGTTATGCTGAGCCAATGATTATAAGAAACCGAACTCCTTTTATATAAAGAAACAATTCAACATCATTCAACCGTTTAATAAAGATAAATCTAATGAACATGTTAGATCCCATCTATCACTATTACCAGTGGGGCATGAGGCAGAATCACGCAGGCCGTAGAAATAACAATAGACTCGACGATCCTAACTCATTACTAATATCAGTGGGGCATGAGGCAGAATCATGCAGGCCAAAATACAATAATAAGATCATGGGGCTAACATATCTTTCAACCTATCTTTACTTCAATGGTCTCGTGATGCGAACTGTTCATGAAAGCACTCGATATCGGCTAAAACAATCGATTCAGGCATAGTGCACAGTTAAAGTCATGCCTTATCAGTAATAGATCTATCAAATAATGATCCCCACTCCACGGTGCTAACTATGGGGTGTGAGGCAGAATCACACAGGCCGTGATAACGGGCCATGAAACGGTTCTCGCTAGCCAATAAATCTACTCAAGATGCAACATGCTTTAACCGCACACTATGCACGATCAAGATTAAAGTAAAACAACAGATAAAACATAACTCATCATTTAAGGTATAGATTAGATCAGTTTTAGATTAACAAACGATGGGCTAGATAAGATATAAGGCCGATCTAGATCAATCTCAATCGGGCAGAGTGATATTGCTACAATTAGATAAATAATGAAAGCAATAAGCAATATCGGTAACTTAATGAATCTACAAAAGACTGTCACTCTAAGGTAGAGCCAATAACTTGACCTTGATCTAGTTCATGCAGTGGGGGTCGACCAGATCGATGCAACCATACTTGAACTAGGCAAGAGTCGATAACTAACTTATACCAGAGTCACAGTGGAGGTCGACCGGATCGATGCAACCGTACGAATAGAGGTATAAGCCATGACGGTACTTACAACAAGTAGTGGAGGTCGACCGGATCGATGCAGCCATACTTGCTAAAGAACTCACCAAGATCTACTCTACTCCTACTCCTAAGGGGTGGCTAGAGCCGAAAAAGTAAATAACTTGTGTATTGGATTGATTGTTGTTCTTTTACAATGGTCGGGGTTTGGTATTTATACCTGGGCCCTATGCATGACTCCTGTCTAAGCATGACTCATTACAACTTTTGACCCTAGAGAAAACATTCCTAATTTAAGATAACTTGGACTCTAATCTTTCCTTTTTTGTAGAGTCCAACATGTTTCGTCCTGGCGTCGAACGTAGCCTTTGTCGTTATCCGCTGGCGCTATCTGAAGAAAGCCGATTCTAGTTTTTGCATCCGAATCAGTTGGTTCTAATCTGCACGCAATTGATCCCTTGATGACATGATCTTGGGAGCTATCGAGTCCCTATGACTCTTCTTCCAAATTTTGGTGTAAACACATGCCCCCCAATTTTAGGATAAAAGTAATTTTATTC